ATTATCTCAGGTGGAAGACTAATTAGACTTATTCTGCTTGGTCCCAAAAGACAGAAAAAGAAACAATCAGGCAAATCCACAAGGAGGCCGATTTTGTCTTAGCAGAAGCAAAAACTTTCTTGCAATTAAAATACTACAACAGTAGGATGAGATGCCCTGGGAAGCAGTGGATTCCTTGTTGGGAACATAGTAGGTGATTTAAACTAGACTGAAGAGCCCCTGAGATTCTTTCCTGCTCAAGATCTCCGGAGTTTGGTAACTTCCCAGGTAATGCTGGACAGTTCTCATCGTTAAGAAGATTTCTGCCATACTTTCCTGCCATATAGGGAGTTCAGCTGCACAGGAAATGGAAATACAATTATATGGTTTTTCTAATGAAGAGTTTGGGGGATTGAGCCTCTTAAGCACTAGACATTTCAAATATTCTTACTGTTCCTCCACAGGACCAAATATCAGCCATCTCAGGCCAGGAGGAAGTCTGTGCCTCCCAGAGATACCAGTCCAACTGCCTGAAACTCTCCACCCAATGGCCTGGGTTCTATTCCTACTTGTGTCATTAAGACAATTAGTTTTGCCTTTTACAGCCATTATGTGATATATGAGCCATCACTGCAATGTCTATGCACATTCCTCAGTTTTTGTTAAATTCACAGGAGCCGTTATCTCTTTAACTCCCATGTCACTTCCTATTGTCCTCTACCTACTATCCAAATGTAATGTCTATGTATTTTTCATCTTTTATTCACTTTGTCCTGCTGGTCTTTTTTCCTTCTCTCTTTCTGCTTCTAATAGGGGATAGACCAGATGATATGAAATTCTGATTCTGTTACTTCTAATTCTATTATATTTATTTCATCCTTTCTCCTATCTCTTCTTCCTTTCCACCTTCTATTCTTATCTGCATTCCTTTGCATGCTCAGACTTTTACTGAGGATACTTATAACACAAACACAAAAATCAACTTATCAAAATTAGTCAGAACTCCTTGAGTTCTGCCATGAGTAAGATCCAGGAAGTGTTTGGTACAAGGTTGTTTGGTGGTTTACAATACAACCATATTGTGAATGAGAGACTCTAATCAATTATCAGTTAATTACTGCATTTATGTGCCTCCAAGGATATGGAGAAAGCTGGGGTAGGGAGAGAGACAAAGACAGAGGAGCCCAAACAAAGGCTAGAAGGGTTTTAAAGAACAGGTAAGATTGGATATGAATATCATGATCGGGGAGAGGGAGACAACTGCTTTCAAGTATTTGAAGGGCTGTCATGAGAAAGATTACATGTGTTTTGCTTGACTTCAGAGAGCAAGGATAGAGATAATGCAAGAAAATTGCAAAAAAAATTATTTAGACTTGATGGAAGGAAAAACTTCCTAGTAATTACAGCATTGGGACTTTATAAGAAGCACAGGCAAGCATTACACCCTGTCTAGGAGGAATTTCATGAGGGTTCTAGGAAGGGGAGAAACAGAACTTTAGAAAAAGGACTTCCATAAGCTGTGCTACCCCTTTGTAACAAGAATTCTCTAAATTTGATCTCACTTTCCCCTGCAGGATCTCTGTACTTGTGGGAAAGTATATCACTGCCTTTTTTTTTTTTTTGGAGAGGTGAGTTATTTTATAGCAACTGGTCATACTATATTACCTTAGTAAACATGTCTTTCTAGAACCCAATTCTGTCTGTCTGGGGTTTTTTGCATACAGTTTAACTTTATTTTTATTTATTTAAAGCAAGAATTTACAAAAAAATCACAACTTCTTAACTTTTCTTTTTCTAATAGATATTTAAATACAAAATATTTCAAAGGAAAATAAATTAACATAAATACTATATATTAGGATCACTTAGGCATAACAACTTTTCAATAAGTCAAGTTGAACTCAGTTCTTCCTTCTGTATATGAGAGGGTTGAGAATTACCTGTTGGAAAGTCATGGTAGGAATTCTTCTGTACTTCTTTTGACAGGGGGAAAGAGGAGGGAAGGAAAGAATGAGGAATTTTTTCTCCAATCCTCCTAGTTGGAGTGATTCAATGTATAGGTTTCTGATCACACAGAAGCTTGGGCTTCATAGAAAAGTTTGAGTGCATGGCCCATGACATACAAAGATGACTTGGTGAGGTAGCATTGTGGAACATAGATCAACTCAAAATCAATAGATGAATCACATTGGTGGAAGCTTATAAGTTTATAAGTATTAGAGAACTATACCCAAACCACTCAAGACTACCCCTTAGAACCTTGAGGGGAAAGATTGTTGTTGTCCTCTAGGTACCCAATTTGCTGGTCTGAGTGTGGGTTAGAAGAATAACCCCAGATTATATCCTACACATATGAAAAAGACTTGGGAATCTTAGTGGAGGATAAGCTAAGTACGAATTGGCACAGACCTCCTTTAGCCTGTACATGATAATCTTTCTGGGGGATTCTTCTCTCTTACTTGCTATCAACTCCAGCAGGGTCTAGTCCTGCTACTACCACCAACACCACCCCAAAAATGAGGGGGGAAACTGCTTTTCTTCATGTCTCCAAGTATTCTCTCTTGGGTTTCCAAGGTATCTGCCTACAGTAGATATGTCCTCTGCTCCCACCTCTTCTGGAGCAGTAACTATCTTTAGGTATTTGAAAGGCTAGCAAGAGGAATTAGACCTGTTTTCCTTAGCTGAGAAAGAACGTGGCAAAAAGGCAAATTTGGACTTGATCTCAGAAAACAAACAAACTAGCAAACAAACTTCTTACAGTTAGAGCTTTCCAAATGTGGAATGGGTTCTATTAGGAGATGGTGGGTTCCCACTCATGGGAGGGCTTCAAGCAACAGTTGGATAATGACTTTTGATCTATAAAATGTCCTTTCATCACCCTCTGTGCTGTGTTTCTGACTCTGTGAATTTCAAAGTCATGACTCAGTACCCAGGAATATCATTCCCAGATGCCACCCTCCTTTTCCCATTGGTGACTGTCTTCAGGGAATTCAATTTGGGAAAGAACTCAGGTTTGCCACTCTTTGTTCTCCTCCTGTTTGTGCCTCTGAGTCTCCAGGCTCTGTCTCTATGTCCTTGTACTAGTACCGTCCCCCTCCCTGCCTCACCTATGTTATTTCTTGTTTTTGTATCCCTAGCACCTAGCTCAGTGTCTGTCACATAGACAATTTTTAATAAATATATGCTGCCTGCCTAACCATGTAGGAAGATGTTTTTCATATGCTACATCACATTTTCCAGGGGTCATATAGGCAAAATTCTTATTTAGCTATAGGTTCAACTAAATAACTTCTGACGTCCACTTCAATTCTGAGGTCCAGTTATTCTAGAATTCTCAGAGGAATTTGCCTTCTAGAAATTGTCTCTTTTACTCAGACTGTTCTTGACTTTGCTTGTTAATATAAAGAACACACCAAGTAGCCCTGAAATTGTTTCAAGTTGTTAACTCTACCCTAAAGTCTCAGACCTGACTCCATTCCTTCTAAAAACACTTTCCTGGACTGAATGGTCCCATTTAAACCTTGATCCATCTTCCATCTACAATATTGTTAGCCTAGGCCATGTGCTTCAGTGAGGTTTTTCTTTCCTTTTCAAAATGATATGCATCATAGAAAAGGAACTTAAAACATACTGTCAGCTGGGATGGGCTTTAGAATGTAGAATGTCTCAGTTTCAAAGGACTAGAGAATAGAGTCAGAACTGGAAGGTGTCATTGCCTGGAGCTCCCAAAACCCTTTCAAGGCTGATGGGGCAGAGTCTCAGAGAGGTGCCCTCTCACATATACAGCCCTAGGCTATCACAGGGGAGCCTTAGCAACACAGGGTCATCAAATACTGGAAGGATGATCTCATCCACTACAGCATATAAGAAAGGGAAAAGCACACAAGCCCCCAGAACATCTTCCCCCAACACACAAGACCATTATGCATTTGTAAATGCATTGGAGGTTTCCAGTGGATTGTAAGTTCATTATGAGTCAGCAGCGATAGGACAGACAAAATAACCTAAAGAAAACAACCTACATTAGAGGAGTCAGAGCTTCCAATAAGAAGGAGGTGATCATCCATTGTCTTTGACCATAGTCAGACCTCATCTGAAATTCTGTACTTCATTCTAGGTACCACAATTTTGAAAGGACATTGATGATCTGGAGAGGATGCAAGGGAAAGTAACCAGGATAGTGAAGGGCTATGTAGGTCAGCTGAAGGAACTAGAGTTACTTGGCCTAAAGGAGAGAAAACATGCAATATGAGCTAATGGGCTTCACATATTCAAAAGGATACTATGTGGGAGAGAAAAGGGATTTGTTCTGTAAGGACTCAGAGGATAGAATGAAGGAACTGGATAGAACTTGAAAACAGGCATATTTTGGCTCAATAGAAAAGAAAGTGAGAGCAAAACCATAAAGGAATAAGCTCCCTCAGGAAGCCAAGAGGTTTCCTTTGCATGGAAGTCTTCAAGGAAAAGCCAGATGCTTAGTTGCCAGGTACATTTTTGTGCCAGGATTTTTGTGGGATATAGTTTTGTCGCATGTGTCCTATGAGGTCCCTTCCACTTCTGTGTGATTTCATGATTTCTGTTGAAGAATGGATGGTCCAAACCTTCAGTCATATGAGATCCCTGTCCTCTATCTCTGCTGTTGTCTGCAGGAATGGCCCTGCCCTGCCCATGGTACCTCCTTCTTTATCCCAGGGCTCAATGGTTATTGATGCTTAGAGTAAATTTCAGATGAGATTTATAAAATGTTCATTTCTAAATGTTGTTGTTCATGTTTTAGACTATCTGAACTCAAAGGAATCTTAGAGGTCATTAGGTCTAAGTCCTTCATCTTACACTGAGGTAAAATGTGGAAATAGTGATTTGTCCAAGATAACAAAGGTAATAAGTGGTAGAGAGAGGGACAGAACTCAGAAATTTCAAGTCAGAGTCTAGTCAGAGTCAGAATTCTTTCCATTTCATGTACGAGGATAACTGGCTTTTCATGTCATGCTCTTATTTCTTTTTCCCACCAGAAAAGTCAGTTCCATGGTACCAAGAAACCAAACACAATTCGCTGAATTCATCCTCCTGGGATTTTCTGAAAAACCAGATGAGCAGAGGCCCCTCTTTGGGCTGTTCTTGGGCATGTATTTGGTCACAGTGGTTGGAAACCTGATCATAATGTTGGCCATTGGCACTGACTCTCATCTCCACACACCCATGTACTTCTTCCTTTTCAACTTGTCCTTTGTAGATATCTGTGTGGTGTCCACCACAGTCCCCAAGATGCTCGTGAGCATCTTGACACAAAATAAGACTATCTCCTATGCCGACTGTATTGCCCAGATGTCCTTCTTTATTGTTTTTGGTGATGTGGACATTTTCCTCCTCACTGCAATGGCCTATGACCGTTTTGTAGCTATCTGTCACCCTCTACACTATGCAGCCATTATGAGCCCTCGACTCTGTGGCCTGCTGGTGCTGCTTTCCTGGATAATAAGCTTTCTAAACTCCCTTCTTCATAGCCTAATGGTAACACGGCTCTCCTTCTGTACACACCATGAAATTCAGCACTTCTTTTGTGATGTTGCTGAGGTTCTGAAACTCTCTTGTTCTGATACTCTCATCAATTTTGTCTTGATATGTGTTATTATTGGACTGCTGGGTATTCTTCCCTTCACAGGGATCCTTTTCTCTTATAGTCAAATATGTTCTTCCATTTTGAAAATCCCATCTGCTCGGGGTAAGTACAAAGCCTTTTCTACCTGTGGATCTCACCTCTCTGTTGTTTCCTTATTCTATGGCACAGGATTTGGAGTATATTTGAGCTCCTCTGCTACCCACTCTTCCTGGAAGAGCACAGTTGCCTCAGCAATGTATGCTGTGGTCACCCCCATGTTGAACCCCTTCATCTATACACTAAGGAATAAGGACATAAAAGATGCCCTCAGGAGGCTCATTAGCAGAATAGCCTCCTCTCAGTGAAAGGCTTACTCCTGGTCCTTGGAATAAGACACTGGTACTTCTGAGGAAAATGTTGAGAGGCAGAAATCTTGGATTCCTCAATTCTCGCTACCACTCAAATCCATCCTCCATTTTGCCACAAAAGTGATTTTCCTAAAGTATAGGTCTGACCCTGTCACCCCTCTTAAGCAATGAATGCCAGGGATTTTCTATTGTCTCCAGGATCAAATACAAAATCCTCAGTTTTACATTCAAATCCCTTTGTAACCTAGACCCTTTCTACCTTTCCAGTCTTCGAATATCTTACTCCATACCACCAACTCTTGGCTCCATGTACTTTAGCCTTGTTGCTGTTTCATGAACAAGACACTCCATTTCTTGACTCTGGGCATTTTCTTGAGCTGTCCACCATGTCTGAAATTCTCTCTCTACTCAACTCTATTTACTGGCTTCTTTTGTTTCATTTAAGTCACAATTTTTTAAAAAATCCAATTTTTATTGGAACTCTTTCCCAACCTCTCTTAATTCTACTCACTTCCCTTTGTTGATGATTTCCTTTTAATCCTGTATATAGCTTGTATGTATATATTTGTTTGCATGTTGTCTCCCCCATTAGATTGTGAGATTGTTATGGTCAGGGACTATTTTTGCCTCATTTTGTATCCCCAAAACTTAGCAAAGTGCCTGGCACGTATTAGGCGCTTAATAAATGTTGATTGATGAATATCAGGTTCCTACTTTACAGGCTCACTCTGCTCTTGTTGACTACAAATGACCTTGATATCATTTTTTATGGCCTCTATTCCTGGTGTTCCCACCATAATTACATCTGATTGAATACTTCCTGCTTCCTCATGACATTTTCCAGCTCAAAAAAGTGCTGGAAATGGAGTGAAAAGACAATATTTAGTCCTCAGCATAGCACTTATAAGCTGTGTGCCCTTGGCCAAGTCATTTAATATCTTTATCTCTCAATTTCATCATTTCTGAAATTGGAATTGGAAGACCTGCCCTAACAACCAGAAATATTTTTTCTCTGTACATCAAATCAAATACTGTATATGAAAGTGTTTTGTAAATTGTGAAATATTATATAGCTTCAGGAAAGAAAGAAAAAATAGAGAAAATTAACATGTGATTTCATTATTGAAAGTCTAGGTCTCAACTGCTCTGTCTTTGTAGTTGGTCATTATGAGTTGCTGTGGTTAAAAAAAAATTAATCACATCATAGTCAACCCTCTCGTGATAAGCCTCTTTGTCCTTTGCCTGATGAGATAGATAAAGTCTTTCCACTTTAATTGACCTGGAAGAACTGGAGCTCTGATTACACGGCCTCTGAAAAACTATGATCAGCTCCATTTGACAATGAGACATTAAATGGGTACATCTGTTCAAAATTCAATTGCTTTTGTGATCATCTTTGTCATCATTTCCCCCAAACATGGATCTGAGATTTCACTGCTTTGCTTAAGATGCTTCATGAGCTCCCTATTATGGCTAGAAAAAAATTTCATCTTCTGTGACATTTAAAACCCTTCATAATCTAAGTCCAACATTTGTTCCTAGTCTGATTTCACATAACTGCCTCAACATACTCTACATTGCCGTTGAACTCAACTACCTGTAATGATGTTCCATCTCTCCCACAAAGGCAGTTTCCCATGCATGGAACAGAGGGGAGCCCGTACTTATCTCTATATCTTCAATTCCCAGCTCCATTTATGGCTGAGTTCAAGTGCTAACTCCAACAAGAATTCCTGATTTCCCCAACTGTTAGTGTTATCCCCAATTCCCACCAAATTTACTGGATAATATTTATTTCTGTATACATCTTGAATTTTCCCTGGCCCTGTGGAAAATAAGCTGTTAGGAGTTGAGACTGCCACATATTTGTCTTTGTATCCAAAGCATCTAACTCAATACCTGGGACAGTATAGGCATTTAATGAATGCTTGGTATGAATTGACTCATCCTTGACTCTCTCTCTTTCTCTCTTATGAATTCCAAACTCATAGGAGAGATCTGGGAGGTCCTCTACTCCAGCTTCTTAAATAATGAAATAATCCTCTTTAGATCTAAAATATTCCTTAAAAAGTGATCATCCATCTTTTGCTTGAACTTTTTCAGTTAAAGGTAACTTCTTACCCAATAATTAGCCATTCTCACTATTTGACTGACTGATTTAGTTGTGAGAAAATTCTTCATTAGACTGAGTAAAAATCTACCTCCCCATAACTGTTATTTATTATTACTAATATTGCCCTCAGAGGCTACATAGGAAAAGCAAAAAGAAGGGAGAGGGTATGGCAATATGTCTATCCACAAAGATATATATGAAAGAAAATTGTCCCAAAATAGGAACAATAGCAATTAAATCCCTCAGAATTTCAGTCTCACTCAAGAAAGAACAAGACTCATTTCCTTAAATGTCAATTCAGAAATGCAAAAGTATGGCCAACATAGATGATAAACGGGAGATATTAATGCAAAGAGGCAAATTTGACCTCAAATGTTTCCATGACACTTGGTAGAGTAAAATCTATGACTAAAATATGGCTCTAAAAATGATGTCCTATTTAAAAGAAGCAGCATATACAAAATTGGGGTGGGGTATCACTATGTATTAAGGTATACTCTAGTAAAGAAATCTGGGTGCCAGAATCAAGAAGCAAAGTAGAAAGTATTGAAAGAAACATCATTGGATGCCTAAATTGAAGCCATTTTGTCATTATGTACACTAAGGGATGATTGGACAGAAGGAAGAATTAGATGATTTCCTGAAACAGATCACAGTACTTGGGTATGGTATAATAGTAAGGGAATACTTTCACTCACTGGACTTCTGCTTGAGTTTTTTTCCCCAATTCCATCCACCCTCCTTTTACATCTTAAGTCTTTCCTCCTCTACTGGCTACTTGGCTTCTGCTTATAAACATGCTCAATTCTCCACTGTCTAATAGAAACCTCCTCCTGACCTATTATCTTAAGCTAAGCACTGCCCATTTTCTTTAAAAAGTAGTGACCACTTCCTTATCTCCCATTCACTCACTCTCCATGCCCATGCAATCAAACTTGTATATTCACAACTCTATTGAAATTCCTCTCTTCAAATCACCAAATCTGAGCTTTTGTCCTACTTAATCAGTTCTCATTTTTTTTTTACCATGACTTCCTTTTTACCCTCTGCTTTTTGGCACAACTCTATTGGTTCTTCTACATCTCTGACTGATTCTTTTCTGTTTCCTTCCCTGGCACCTGCACCTCCTCCTGGTCCCTCACCTCATTGTGGGCATTCTGCCCAAGTTTCTGAGCTTAGACTCATCACTTCTCCCTCTATGAAAACCGAGATCTGGGAAAGACCTTAACTTAAAAAGGCTAAGGTCTCCCGCTGCATTTGGGACCATCACTAGTCATCTTGACCTATGTCTTGCCACTGGACTATTATGGCTCTGGAAGAGAGTGTGAGGCTGATGACTTTGAATAGCTCTGCCTCACTTCAATCCAATTCATGTGTAAATCGAGACATCACCCTCCTGATGACATTGGTCCTCTTCAAGAAGGAAGGAGGAACAATAACAACCTCCCTTTATTCTCTCTCTATTGATGATCTCATCCACTCAGTATCAGAGAATCACAGAATTTTGGAGTTGGAAGGGACCTCAAAGACCATCTCACACCTGAAAGGAGTAATCTCTTCTATAACATACCCAACAAATCTCCTTTACTTCTATGCTTGAAGCTTTCTAATGGACAGTCTACCTTAGGATGACCACCCATTCCACTTTGGGACAGTTTTAATTGTATGGAAATCTTTCCTATCATCAAAACTAAATTTATCTCTTTGCAACTTCCACCCTTTAACTCTGGTGGCTCCTGATCTTTCTCTTTGGGGCCAAACAGAGCAAGTCTAATCTCTCTTCCATATGGCAGCCATTCAAATACTTTAAAATGGCTATTATTCCCCAATTGAGTCTTCCTTCAAAAGGCAGAAGATTCTTAGTTCCATCCAGCATTTCCCATATGATATAAATTCAAATCCTTTCACCATCTTTTTCTTTGCATGCTCTCCAACTTGTCAGTGTCTTTCTGGAACCATGGTAACCAGAATGAAACATAATATTCATGATGAGGTTAGATGAGGGCAGAGTACAGAGAGATGGACATGTCCTTATCTTGCAACTTGTACCTCTCTTAATGTAGCTCAATTGCATTAGCCTTGGCAGTTGCCACATCATACTGCTCAATTCATATTGAGTTTGGAGTCCACTAAGACCTTGAGGTCTTTTTCTCAGACCATCTGCTATGTATGATTCTCCCATTTTGTATTTGGTAAATTGAAGTTTTGTATGCAAATATAAGATTTTACATTTATCCCTACTGAATTTCATCTTAGAAATGGTCCAATGAGGGGCAGCTAGGTGGCACAGTGGATAGAGCATTGGCCCTGGATTCAGGAGGACCTGAGTTCAAATCTGGCCTCAGATACATAATACTTACTAGCTGTGTGACCCTAGGCAAGTCACTTAACCCCATTGCCTAGCCAAAAAAACAAACAAACAAAAAGAAGTGGTCCAGTGGTTTGAACTGTCAAAATCTTTTTGAATTTGTCGGTTTTCATCCAGTGTGTTAGTTATCCTTGGCAGCTTTGTGTGTCATCTACAGATTTTTATGACCTTTATCCACACCATTGATTAAGAAAAGTTAAATGGCACAAGGCCAGCAACAGATGCCTGGACAATCTATTGGAGACTTCCTGCCATCCACTGAACTATTAACAAGATGTTGCAGTGGATAAAGGATAGGACTTAGAGTCAGGAAGACCTAAGTTCAGTCATGCCTCAGACCCTTACTACCTGTGTGTCCTTAATCAAGCAACTTAATCATTTGTGCCTCAGTTTCTTCATCTCTAAAGTGAGGATTAAAAATAGCACTTACCTCACAGAATTTTTTGAGGATTAGATTATTATATTAATATATAATATTAATATTAATTAAATAATATATGTAAACTACTTTGCAAA